TGCAGGCTTGAGTTGACAGAAAAGTACAGCATCCTTTGTTAAAGTTTCTGTCGGTGTTTCTTCACCTCCGTCTTCATCTTCAAGTAAATTCGGGCTAGCTGAAGGTTCTACTTTAGTACACCTTCCAATGACACACCCGATTGTAGTGCTGTTAGACCCAAGGAGATATGCCAGACTGGCTGCTGCATCATTCTTCCAGATATTTTTCCAGTCGTCTTTCGTCTTGGGGTACGTTTTGCTTTTGAAAACAAAATGTCAGCAAAGCACAGCAAAGGTGGAATAATGAGAAGTTGGTTTGCAAAGAAGGCGGCGTCGCTGCTTACCTATACGTTTGTCATCAACGGCACCGTTCCTTGCTATTCAAGACACAGATGTGAGACTTGTCTCTAGTGATGGTGAATATGGCGCTTGCTTACTTGAAGACTGTCAATCCTGCGTCAAGGGCCTTCTGCAGTAATTGACGGTAGTCTGGACTGGTCTCCGACTTGGGTTCGTAGTCGAAAGAGTAATGGAAGTTCTCCTTCTATACGCCCAAACGGTACGGAAAAGGACAAAACAGCTTGCTTAGACTCCTGTCTGGGCCAGTTGAATTGCTGTACAGTTTGTGTCGGGCTCTACAGTGGGATTTAGAGCTTCTGTTGCCACAGCACAAGTACCGGTAGCAAAAGCTCAAATTCACTGGTCAAGTAGGTGTTTTGCTCACCGGTTGGGCGGCTATCAATGTAGTACAGTTCTCCGCGGCGGGATCTGGTCCGGCTGTTACTTTTCCCGTCAACTCAGTGACAAGGCTTTCGTCCTTTGTGACCTCACTGATGTGAACTGGGAGCTTTCCATTACGGGCCAAGTTGGCGGACAAGTAGGCGTCTGCGGCGGAGAAACAGGAACAAAGACACACGAGGGAATAAAGCAATGAGGCGGCCAAGGGTCCGCCGCGGCAGAGTACTCGATAGCTTGGCTTCAAACACGAAGGAGAAAAGCATGACCGGTGAAATGGAGCGGAAAACATGCTCACCTTCATCTACCTTCACTACTGTAAACTTATATGTTGGAGTATTCCCCTGTGCCTGGGATTGGAGCACACCGAGTGCGACGAGGCACACTGCTGTTGCCGTCTTGTAGAAAGAAGCCATGGTTGTGAAAGAAGAGAGAGAATTTCAATATCTGTTTTCTTTCAAAAAGAAACGGAAAGAAATATGCACAAAATAAGGAGTTCAGGAATGTAG